TTAAAACATGCTCCTTTCATAAGCTGTATTTGTTATACTTAAATCTAGGGGAGCTTTCTAGACAGCTGGAAGAGAAGAATTCCTTGGTCTCTCAGCTAACAAGAGGCAAGCAGTTCTACACCCAGCAGATTGAGGACCTCAAGAGACAACTAGAGGAGGAAATTAAGGTATATTTTATTTTATTTTTAAATATTTATTACTAACTGTCCATTGCATTTTTATATATAGTTGACAGGATATTTTCAATCCTCATAGGCTAAGAATGCCCTGGCCCATGCAGTTCAGTCTGCGCGTCACGATGCTGATCTGCTGAGGGAGCAGTATGAGGAGGAGCAAGAAGCCAAAGCTGAGCTGCAGCGGAGTCTGTCCAAGGCAAACTCTGAGGTGGCTCAGTGGAGAACCAAGTATGAAACTGATGCCATTCAGAGGACCGAGGAGCTGGAGGATGCTAAGTATGAAACAGGAAACACCTACAAACCTACAAAAATTATGTAAACATTAAAACTCCATGTAAAGTAATGATTCTCTGTAATAATTTTAGGAAGAAGCTGGCTCAGCGTCTGCAAGATGCAGAAGAAGCTGTGGAAGCTGTCAATGCTAAATGCTCCTCACTGGAGAAGACCAAACACAGGCTGCAGAATGAGATTGAAGATCTCATGGTGGATGTGGAGAGATCCAATGCTGCTGCCGCTGCTCTGGACAAGAAGCAAAGATACTTTGATAAAGTAAGGGAAATGTAAAGTTAATTTTATCATTACCTGGAAAAGCAGTGACTCAAATTTGCAAAATAGAAATAGCATAACAAAATAAAATATTGTTATGTAAAACAACAATAATCTTCAGAAAACAGTCAGTGTTAAATTGATAGCAATTTAAGTTTCTAATATAGATAGGGTCCAGCACTATTCTTTGCTAGAAAAACACTTGATTAAAACGGCTCTGCTCACATCTAACACTGTTAACTTTATCCAGGTCCTTGCTGAGTGGAAGCAGAAATATGAGGAATCCCAAACTGAACTGGAAAGTGCCCAAAAAGAAGCTAGATCTCTGAGCACTGAACTCTTTAAATTGAAAAACTCATATGAGGAGTCACTGGACCACCTGGAGAGCATGAAGAGGGAGAACAAGAATCTCCAAGGTAAGGATAGTTTTACAACTCCAAACCATTAGTTTAATTGCTTGTATTTGTGAGGTCATGGGTTATTTCTAATGCACAGAGGAAATCGCTGACCTCACTGAGCAACTTGGTGAGAGTGGGAAGAATATTCATGAGCTGGAGAAAGTTTGGAAACAACTGGAGAAGGAGAAACAAGAGATACAAACTGCTCTGGAGGAGGCTGAGGTAAAAGAAAAACAACAATTCCCCCAAAATTCATATTCATCTGACATATCTTAAAATTACCTATTTTTCCTCTTCATAGGGTTCCCTTGAACATGAAGAAGGCAAGATACTTAGAGCTCAACTGGAGTTTAATCAGATCAAAGCTGATATTGAACGTAAGCTGGCTGAGAAAGATGAGGAGATGGAGCAAGCCAAGAGGAACCAGCAGAGAGTGGTGGATACTCTGCAGAGCTCACTAGAATCAGAGACTCGCAGCAGGAATGAAGCTCTCAGACTGAAGAAGAAGATGGAGGGAGACCTCAATGAGATGGAGATTCAGCTCAGCCAGGCTAACAGACAGGCATCAGAAGCCCAGAAGCAACTCAAGGGTCTTCATGGACATCTCAAGGTATGTTTTACCAACAATTTGTCAAGAAAAATTAAATCTTATAAAGTTCTGCAGTCTATTCATATGTAAAATTTGTACTTCACAGGATGCCCAACTGCAGCTGGATGACGCTCTGCGTGGTAATGATGATCTCAAAGAGAACATCGCCATCGTGGAGAGACGCA